GGTCCCTGTGCTTTGCCAAGCTTGTTTCAAGTAGGTGCTTTAGACCACTGAGCCATCTCTCCAGCCCTGAGCTTGTCTTTCTTTATAGCTGAGTAATAGTCCATTGTATAAAAATACTGTATTTTTTTATTGTTTCCTCAGTTGATGGGCATTTGGGTTGTTTCCAAGATTTAGCTATGACAAATTGTGCTGCTATAAACGGGTGCACATAGATTGCTGTGGTACAGTGTTTTCAGTTCTTCTGGGAAAACACTCAGAAGGGGATAGCTGGGTTGAATGGTATCTTTGCATTCAGCTACAGGCAAGCTGCAGACCTTTGCAACACTGCGTGACCATCTGTGCTTCTCTTCCTTGTGTTCGCAGGCCTGAGTGGGCAGACAGCTCACCCTTCACACGAGGGTGTTTCCAACCTCAGCCTTCCTCTGGAGACTTGATCCCAGAGTCCTCTAGGGAAGGAGGCCGACTGCAGGACAGATGGTTTATCAAGTCAAAGATCAAGCAGCTACTGATACTCAGTACAAGTCAGTTAAAAGCAACAATTATACTACCATTAACAACAGAGAAGGGCAAAAATAAACTAAAAGGTTAAAAATAAATATTTAAAAAATAATAATAGTGATAAAAATGGATAGAGCAGGATAATGGAAGAATAAGCCAGATTTATTTTTTTACTTTTTACGTTTCTGTATTTAGGCCAGGGCGCACAGGGTCTCGCTGCATACATTGGACTTGTAGCGATCCCCCTGTTTACAGCCTCCCGAGTGCTGGGATTAGGGAACGTGCCACCTGCCCAGTCTCAGTCGCTGTCTCAGCGTGCCCCAGGGGTGGGGCCGGCACAGCAGGCCAGGAGATCGAACTCCTGGCCCCTGTGTTTGCCTAAACAGGCGCTTTAATCTGCTGAGCTATTTGGTTGGTCCTAGTAAGCCAGATTTAAAAAGGGAAAGTAGGGCTGGTGAGATGGCTCAGTGGTCTAAAGCACCTACTTAGAACAAGCTAAGCTAAGCAAAGCACAGGGACCGCGGTTCAATCCCCAGCACCACATGCCAGCCAGCCCCACCCCCTGGTGGGCTGAGCTGGCCACACACACACACACACACTAAATAAATAAATAAATATTAAAAAAAAAAAATAAAAAGGGAAAGTAAGAGAAGATAAGATAAAAAAGTGAGAGGTAAAATTCTACTGAATAAAAATAAATAAAATTAGATATGAGAAAATACAAATAAGTGAACAAAAAGAAAAGAAAAAGAAAAATGAGTCAAAACAAATCCTCCACAGCAAGGAGCTGGGACTGCGCTTCTATCTGAGCCCATGGTCTCACACGTCCCAGAGACCTCCAAGTGTGCCTCTCATGACCCCCGACCCCAGAGTGGCTCAGTCTGATAACCTGGCCCCACACTGACATCTGCTCTACCCACCCCAGCCGTGTGAGGCTCCACAGAGCTCCCTGGAGACCCCAGTCTGCAGCAGGGCCTGGGGGCTTCTGCACGAGGGCTGCAGCTTTCCCTGCTGTCCCCTGTGCTCCCAGCCAGTCTCCCCACCCGAAATGGGGGTGACCTTGTGGACAGTCTGTCCTTTCTCCATGTTGCCTTTGTTTCTCTACAGTCTTTCCTCTCCTGTCCCGGTTTTGTACTTCCTAGGGCTCTCTGGTATAGCTGTTCCTTTCTGGCTCTTACTTCTTCCCCCAGAGTCACACGAAGAACACTGCTACTGCCTGTGTCACGTGAGCTCTGCCACAGTGGGACCCTTGGCAGTGATGCTGTGTGGCGCTTTGTGTTGCTGGGTTTTGTCATTCTTCCTTGGGTGTGCTCGAGGGCCAGAATGGACACCTTCGTTCTGCTGTTCTCCCAGGGCCTAAGGATCCCTGGGGGGTCAGTTAATGGTTCCTGCCTGTGCCTGGGCTGGCAGCCTTGCCTCCTGCCCACTCCAGCAGCTCATATGACCATGGTAGTCACCCCACCCACCCAACTGTGTGGCTCTGGCTGAGCTGGGGGCTTGGAGCTTGGGCTTGGACCTCTCCAAGGAGGGTCCCTGCCTCCTCCCACCTGCAGGTCTCCTGTAAGGACTCAGTCCTATTAAGTTAGGCCCTCACTGAGGCCTGGGTGCAGGACAGATACCAGCATGGTGATCTCTATCCCAAGGGCCCTAGCTGCACAGGGCACATTCTCAGACTTGCCTGTTGCAGAGGCTGCTGCTCACAGATAAATCATACATGCCCTCTGCTTTCTCCTCTTCAAAAGTGCTTGCCATTTCTCCTCACTCTTTCTCCTGGCTCCTTGGCCCCATGGCTTCTTTCCTCCTTCTTTTCCTCCTCCCACTCTCCCCTCCTTGCTTTTCTCCATTTTTTCTTTCTTCACTTCTTTTTTAAAATATTTATTTATTTATTTAGTGTGTGTGTGTGGCCAGCTCAGCCCACCAGGGGGCGGGGCTGGCTGGCATGTGGTGCTGGGGGATTGAACCGCGGTCTCTGTGTTTTGCTTAGCTTAGCTTGTTCTAAGTAGGTGCCTTAGACCACTGAGCCATCTCACCAGCCCCCCTTTCTTCACTTCTACTCATTACTGTGAGATCTTATTAAAACCAAGAAAGCAACATATGGATTCTTTTTTTTTTTTTTTTTTTTTTGGTGGAACCGGGGATTGAACTCAGGCCTTGTGCTTGTCAGGGAAGCGCTTATTCTACTGAGCCATCTCCCTGGTCAACATATGGATTCTTCAGCCATCTTAAACCAGATGTTTCTTCCTGTCTTTTCCTGGAAACTGCTTAAAAGCACATGTCCTCCTGGGGACATTTATAATGCTTGTAACTTTTCACTGTGGTAAATATGGCTTTGATCAGCCCATGGCCCATCACATTTGTGTACCTCTGTTACTTTTCTAGCATAAATGCTGAGAGACTGGGTCAAAGTTTTGACAGTTACAACATTTGAAGCTCATGTCCAGACTGCTAAGGAAATTTATACCACTTGAAACTCTGTTCTTATATTTACAAGGGCTTTTCACTCTGCAGTCAACTAACAAGTCCCATGTGTTAACTGTTCTACAGTTGCTTTAATATGTTGTTTATGGCATAAGTGAAGGGTGTAACTTGGTTTTCCTTGCTGCACCCTTTGCCTCACTCTCCTTCAAATGGCTTTCAATGGCCACATCCAGCTGAGCGGTCTGCGATGGTTCTCTCATCACGAAGGACACACTCCCTGTGCATCTCTCCCAGGTAGGTCCTGATCTGGCCGCAGCCAGACAGTGCTGTCCCATAGACCAGATCCCGGCTGGGACGCCAAGTACCACACAGGCCTCTTCTCTCAGTGGCCTACAGGGGCCAGCCTTGACCATACAGGACCTGTGATCCCTGGGGTCCTCCCATCTGTCCCTCTGTCCCCCATACACTCAGTCCCCTGTCACATCCTGTGAGCAAATTCAGCCATGGCTGCTGGTACGGCTGGGATCATTTTCCTGGGCTCTGTGTCCTGCTGTTTCAGATGATTTGTGGGTGGTCACTGCCTTCCCTGTAGGGGAAGTGAACCCCCTCCTCCAGGCAGCCTCCCAACCCAGCCTCATGCACACTATGAAGAAACTGAGGCCCAGCAAGGTCGAGACCTGGGTGGGTGTCAGCCGGAAGACACATGACTACCCCACCCCAGCCCCGAGAATTTTTGTTCTTTCCTCTGTCTCTCTCATTTACCCCTTCATTCTCTTCCCTCCCTGCAGAGGGTCCCCTGGGGGTGTGGGTGGGGGGTTATCCCTGGCTGGGAAGGAGGGCACAGAGGGAGTGCAAGAATCCCCAGTGCTCTCAGCCAGCTGCCCTGCTCAGTGGGGGCCCTGTAGAGCAGGGGGGTTATGGGGTGCCTTGGGGTACAGGGTCCTGGCAAGCCCTGATGGGCTCTCTCCAGGCCCTAAGTGGTGAATCTAGCTGTGTGGGCTCCTTCTGTCTGATTGGAGGCTGGTTTTTATTTTATTTATTTATTTATTTTATTTTTAAAATTTTATTTATTTATTTGTGGGGGGGGCAGCTCAGCCCACCTGGGGGCGGGGCTGGCTGGCATGTAGTGCTGGGGGATTGAACCGCGGTCCCTGTGCTTTGCTAAACTTAGTTTGTTCTAAAAGTAGGTGCTTTAGACCACTGAGCCATCTCACCAGCCCCATGGAGGCTGGTTTTTAAAGGGGTGAGTCCCAGAGTTGAGGTCTGAGGAGCCCAGAGCCCCCATATCCCACACCCACATGGCTCAGGATGCAGACCAGGCCTGGGGCAATGTTAGGTAGGGTGTACTAGGGCTACTGGTCACAGGATAGGGCTCCTTGAGGCTAGGTGCCTGGACACAATATGGAAGCATGGGGCTGCTGTCACACTTTCCCCTAGCTAGGTGGGATCCGTGCTGGGCTCAGGTGTCTGGGCACTGACTCTTGCCCATTGCCTCTTCCTATGGGCCTCTTCCTGGGCACCATCCTCATACCCTAGGCATCTATACACCCATGGGTGTGTCCCTTCCCATCATATACCTGGGGCTGGGCCTGCTGCAGAGAGCTGAGCTGAGATGGCACTCAGCCCCTGGGCCCAACAGAGAACAGTGACCTTGTGGGTCTCAGGGAGCCCCTCGAGAATGGCAACCTTAATAAGGCCTGAGGGAGGCTAGGGAAGTGATGAACAGCATAAACCTGGCACCAAGTGGCTCAGTCTTTGGGGTCTGACCTCCCCCATGAGCACACTGAATTCTGGGGATTGCTTGGCCGTGGGACTGGGACCACTCTTCAGACCTGAGCTTGAGTCCTGGTTTCTGGGGACAGGGGCTGTGCCATCTGGCCTTAGTGCCTGAGCAGGGGAGATGGGCCTTCTAGTCTGAAGGATGCCACAGACCCAGTGGAAACAAGGGTTGACTGTCCTGGACCTGTCCCCCTCACACACACGAGAAAGGCTGAGGTGGGGTCCTGTGAACCCTCTAGGGTCCCCTGCTCTCCAGAGGCTGGCTTAATGGGGGCGCTGGTGGAAGTTCCCCCAGCGGCTGCTCAGCTGTCAGCTAGCATGGGGCAGATGCCTGAGGACTGAGTTTCCTCTCTGAGCCCTCCTGGTCCATCCTTTGCCAGTGGCATGGAGAGGGCACACAGCTGTGGTCGCCCCTCCAGGCTAATGTGAACCTGGGCGATGTCTGGGGTGCAGCAGTCAGGTGCCCTTGCTGGTGTCTTGGTGGAGTGGCAGCCTGTGGCACCCTGGGCCCTCATGGGAGACAACAGGTCTGTGCGTCCAAAGGAGGTTGCTGCTGGCAGGCAGATCTCTGGAGGCCACCTGGGGGCATCAGGGGCACATGGCTCTCCAATACCAGCAGGGGCAGCATCAGCATTGCCCTGCACTGCCTGGACAACCACACACACTGGTGCTCAGGGCTAACACATGTGTGACTGGGCCACCCACCTGGGGACCTGCTCCCTATACCTAGGTCCCGACACACACCTGCCCCACGTTCCATGGGCCTGACCCCCACCCACAGGTCTGGGTACTCAGGCCCTCAGTGCAGGATGGACACTACCTCTGCCCTGCTGCGCCTCCTCAGCTGTGCCTTGCACAGGTAGGGGCGGTGGCTGGCCTTCAGGAGTTCTTGCCGGGTCAAGATGGTCACAGCGCAGCCTCCCTTGCAGGCCGGATCCCCAGTGCTGCCCCTCAGGAAGCTGCGGGGTCACAGGGCACCCCTGCCCCAGCTCAGGCTGGAATTTTCTGACCCCCTCCCAGTCCAGAAGCGTGGAGAAGGCACTGAGCTGCGACCATCGTCCCAGAGTCCAGGCACCCCGACGGCGGGAATGGACAGCGGGCGCCACTGCCTCCGCAACTTAAGTACTGGACAGCCGGGTCCCCCAGGATCAGGTAGCCCCGACTCCAGGCCCAAAGCAGGTCCCCACTCCACGTCCTCTTCTCCAAGCTTCCAGGGAAGCAGCCTAGCGCCTCCGCTCCAGCAGGGCAGTCGAAGCCGCCGGCTACTCCCTCGTCCTGGACTTGCGCCCAGGCCGCCCCCGACCGTCCCGGCCAGGCAGCGGCCCGAACCTCGACTCCGCCTTAGCCCCCGACTGACTCCGCCCTAAGGTCGCTCGCACTGGCTTCACGTCCTCTCACCACAGCCGGGTACCGCAGCTGCCGCCACGCGCTTCCAGTGGCTCCTTCCACTCGGCTCCCTAGCCGCGCGCACGCTCCAGCGCGGGCCCCACCGCCGTTGGAGTTTGGGGCCCTCCATGCATGGCCCCGCCCGGAGCCCAGCGCCCCACACCTACCCGCCCCGCCCGACGCAGCGTGACCCCGCCCCTTCCCGGCTCCGCCCCGATCCCCTTCCGGGCCTATGGCCACGCCCTTCTAGGGCCCGCCCCCACGGCAGCGCTCGGGTGCTATAAGAGGGCGGCAGCTGCGACGAGCCCTGCGCGGAGCCGGGAGCGCGATGGTCGGCCGCCGCTGTGCGGCAAGATGCTGGATGGGTTCCTGCCGGCGCGCTGGCTGGCCGCGGCCCTCGGGCTGACGCTGCTGCTCGCCGCGCCGCGCCCTTCGGCCGCCTACTTCGGGTAGGTGCTGCGGGGACCGGGAGCCGGCACGGGACCGGGACCGGGACCGGGACCGGGGCCGGGGTCGGGGCCGGGACCGGGGTCGGGGTCGGGGTCGGGGCCGTGACGGACGGACGGACGGACGGACGGACGGACGGACAGGCGGACAGGCGGGGGGGCCAGGTTCTCGGCGCGCTGCGGGGCGGTTGTGTGCGCGCCGTCGCTGCATCGGGTCCCAGCGGGGCGGCCGCCGTGCCCCGAATCTAGAGTCGCCGCCCTGCCGTAGGCCGCCGGGCTCCTGCCAGGAGGCTAGAGCCTCCCACCGCCCCCTCTGCTCCAGAAGTTATTTTAACAGCAAAAACCACGTACAAAATCCAGATGTTCCTGCGCGGAGCCCCAGGGGCCTCCGAGCGGGAGAGGCTCGCTTTCCGCGCTGCACGCCCCACGCTGCCGTGGCCCGGCCGAGAGCACTCTCGGGACTGGCTGGGGGCGCCCGTCCCTGGGCGTCGCGTCCCTGCGTGGCCTTGAGCGCGTCTCCGCCCGGCCTCCTTCCCTCTCTCCCCGCCTTCCCGGTTGGAGATACCTGAGACCAGCCACCCCTCCGGGCGCAGGGCTCGGGGTGGCACCGCGCAGCGCCCCACTGTCCTCTCGCTTCCCAGCCCGCGGTCTCGCCCGCCCCTGGCGCCCAGCCGCCGCCCTCGCCGGTCACCTGTTCCTCCCTGGCCGGGCGCCGCGCGGAGGCCTGGCCGGCAGAGGGCCCCGTCGGTCCAGAAATCCGGCCCCGGCGGGGCGGGGAGAGGCCGCTGGGCCAAGCAGCCCTGCAGGTGTATCCTGTTCTCAAAGAAAATAAAATATTTTCATGGGAAACTTTCCCTTTGTGTTTTTCTTTCTCCTCCTTTCTTCTGTCTGTTCCTCTCTCTTGGGTTGCCTTCCAGGGTCAACTCAGGGTCTCAGTCCTTGGGGTCCCCATCTGGTCCCTCTCCTGGTAGGTCGGGGAGAGTCTGGGGCTGTGGCCCCTGCCTCCCACGGAGTGGGCAGGAGGCCGAGGATGCCGTCTGCCGCTGGCCCCTGTGAGTCACAGCTGCGCAGCAGCCAGCCAGCCGTGCCTTACTGTCTCTGGCCCCTTGACACACCCAGGCTCTTCAGGGCCTCTCTTCCGCTGATTTCTCTGCTACTCTCCTGGGCCCCAAAATGAAACTGCTGTGGGATACTCTGTGGCTCTCCTGGGGCGGCCTCTGAGCCTGTATCCTGCAGACCTCTGGGGTGTTGTCAAAACTTGTGCTTTGGTTTCCCGGCAGGGTGAACTGTAGATGCTGGCTCTGCAGGTGCAAGGGTGTCTGACTTTTGGCTCCTGGTCAGCCCCTCTGTCTACTTCTTTGGCACCAAAGGACCCCTGGGGGCTGCTTCCCTGGGGACACCTGGATGTGGTGTGGAGAGGCAGAGGTAGTCAGAATTTGGGTGGAGGAAGCCCGCCTGCCTTCTGGAGCCAGCTTCCAGGAGGGTCAGGCTTGGCACCTTGGGCGCCCCTGGAGTTGATTCCAGAGGGGTGGCCAGAGAAGGAATTGGGGGCCCAAGTTGTCTTGGGAGAAAGATGGTCCCACACCCTGAAGGACCAGGCAGAGTTCAGACTGGAGGGGCCCAGGCAGGGCAGCGCCTGTGGGTGCAGGTCATTCTGAGGTGGAGAGGGAGGGAGGAGGAACTGGAATCTGGGGCTCTCCTCTCCCTTCCCCCTCTCTCCACAGCCCTGCCTGGCACGGAGGCTCCCAGGCAGGAACGCGGCTCCAGTTACAGCCCAGGAACCCAGAGAGGAGAGGCTGGCCCCGGGGAGGGTCACGTGGCCCCCGGGAGCCCTCCCTGCCCCCTTGCCGGCTGCAACCCAACCCTGGCCTGCTCAAGCTGCCTTGCCCTTCTTGAGGCCTCTGGACACCCCAGAGCCAGACCCCTTCAGGGTGGCTGCCAGCCAAGGGGCAGGGGCAGCCTCTTTTCTTCCCCTGGCCAGCTCGGCATCCTGCCCACTTAGCAGGTGTCATTGCCATTGGGTTCTCTGGTGGCAAGCGAGGAACAGAGGGGCGTGGGAAGGGGCCAGCCCAAGGTCGAGGGGTGGGGCACAGACCCAGGCCCCTCTTAGGAAGGAGGCTGTAAGGCTGGCCTCAGCCTTTGGCTCCTCTCCCGGGGTCCTTGAGGAGAGACAGCCTAGATGCCTGGGGCTGTCCTTGGTGGGGCCTGGGTACCTTGCAGCCCTTCCTTTGGAATCCCGTGTACTGCCAGCCAGCCCCAGCAGAGGCCAGGGGCTTCCAGCGGGCCTCCAGCTCCGTTTCTTTAAAAGGTCTCAGACGGCACCGTCGTAAACCCTGGGACTGTGCGTTGGTTTTGGCGTGTGCATTCTCGTCGCTCAGGAAACATCTGCAGGCTGCTCCGGGAAGACTGAGGATAGAAGCCGAGGCCTGCTGTGGGGCCTGTGGGCTGCGGCCTATGGAGAAGAGGCCCGTGTCCCCCAGTGCAGCCCTGACGTCAGAGCAGGCAGGGTGCTGGGACCGAAGAAAGGCCAGCTTGGGGCACTTGGGACCACAGGGACAGCTCCAGCCGAGTGGCACTAGGGCCTGCAGAGGTACTGCTCGTAGCTCATGTGCTGGCCAAGTCTCCAGCTCGGTGGTTTGGTGCATTCATGGGGTTGTGCAGCCATCACCACTGTCTCATTCCAGAATATTTTCCTCATCCCAGAAACCTCATAGCCATTAAGCACTAAGTCCCCTCCAGGCCCTGGCAGCCACTAATCTGCTTCCTGTCTCCATGGATTTTCCTCCGGGATGGGTCATGTAAACAGAATTGTACGCTGCATGGCCTTTGTGTCTGGCTTTTCTGGCTCAGCTGCCTATTCTTGAGGTTCGTCGTGGATGCAGTGTGAATCCACATTGTGCTCCTTTTCATGACTGAACAGCTAGCAGTTAAAAACAAAAATCACTTGAGGGCCAGTGAGATAGTTCAGTGGACTAAGTGCCTGCTTAGGCAAGCACAGGGACGAGGGTTCCATCCCCAGCACCACATGCCGTGCCAGCCCCACCCCAGGTGTGAGCTGGCCACCAAATCTGGGTTTGGTGGCACACATCTGTAATCCGAGCTCAGGGGAGACTAAAACAGGAGGATCATTACGAGTCTGAGCTCCATAGTAAGACCCTGTACCAAATACGTTAAAAAAAAATTGGCAGTGGAGGGTGTCTGGGTTGTTCTCACTGTTTAGCTATTTTGAATAATGTTATGAACCCTGGTGAGCACTTCTTTCCTTGCAGACTGAGTTTCCAGTTCGTTGGGGCTCACATCTAGAGTTGGGATTGCTGGTCACCACCTGGATGGACATGTGGCCACTTGAGGGGCTGAGTAGCAGTGCCATTTCTGTTCCTATGAGCAGGGCGCAGGCCCCCCGACTCTCACCAAAGCAGGTCTTCTCCTCATTCTGCTTTCCCCCGTGGGTGTACAGAGGTGAAGGGGTCCCCTTTGGGTACATGTGCTGGATGACTTGTGACACAGAGCCTCTTCCTGTAGGCTCCCTAGCCATGTGCGTGTTTGCTTTGAGACCATCTGCTCAGCTCCTGTGCCTGTCTTTTGGTCCAGTTGTGGTTTTGTTGTTGGGTTATGCCTTCCTTTAATGTTCTGCACCTCTCCCTGGTTGGCTCTTTCATCTTTAGACCCAGAAGTGCCTTCGTTGTGCCTGGACTCCAGTCCTGTGTGCGTGTGGCCATAGGTACCCCCTGTGCGAGGGCCTTGTATTGGGGCTGTTCCTGCTGCTCAGGGCACCACAGAGGAGCTTGTTGCCCAGGGCACAGAGATGCTGTTTCCCGTGCCAGTGCTGGTAGCAGGGCAGGCCCCCAATCTGTCTGTGTATGCACATGCTGGGGTCCAGCTTTGTACTCTCTGATCTGACAGCCACGTGGATGGGTCACTTGTTAGGCCCTGAGGGAGATAAGGCTGGGCAGAGTCCCAGCAGGAGGGTGCTTTGAAGGTAGGACCTGTCACATTGCGTGGTGACCGGCAGAGGCCACCAGAGGTGGCGCAGTTGTGCTGGATAGGCAGGAGCCAGGGAATCAGGGCCAGGGCAGACTGGCAGTCAGGCCTGGGCTACAGCTGACAGTGGGCAGGTGCCATGTGCAGACCCCAGCTTGATGCCTCAATGAGCACATGGGCGAGAGCAAGGAATGGTCCCTGGCCGTGAGACTGCCAGGATGTCGCAGGCCCAGGAGGCCTCTTGGAAGCTGTCCTGCACCAGATACTCATCAGCGGGTGGTAGGTGAGCTCCAGGGGTTCAGAGGAGGGGATATGGACTGGGGCAGGATGGGGTGGCATGGGCAGGCATAGGCAGGTGCTGGAGCAGAGGGAGGATGATCCTGGCCCTTATACAGCCCCACTGCGCCTGCAGCTCTGCCCTGGGCCCCAGTGCAGGCCAGGCCCAGACCCCTGGGGAAGGGTCCTCAGGCTGTCCAAGCCCCAGAGGAGAGAGACAGGAGTGCTGGTGCCATGTGGTGGGATTTGAGGTGAAGGAGAAGCAGGCCCCACCTGGCCCCACTCAGCTGTGTGAGCAGATGTCCTGCCCACAGCCGGCGGCTGTCTGGACAGGAGACAGCTGGCCTAATCTTGCTCCTGTCCCCACCACACACTTTACACTTTGCTTCCTGCTGTGTGGTTCGGGTGCCTGCCTGGAAGGACCCCATGGGTGCCAGCCAGTTCCTGGGTGGCCTGAGGCAGGCCCCCTCTTGCCTGCTGCCTGTTCCCCACTTCCTGTGTTTGGTCTTTGTGGGTTCCTCTCTTGAGAAAGGATGACTTAGACCAGGGGAGAGGGGTAAGGAGCTCCTGAGGTGAGCTCAGGCAGCCAGGCCTCCTGGTTCCACCTGTCCCTGTGGCCCTTGGCATGGCCTCGTCACGAGCTGTGCTGGGTGGAGGGGGCCTGCCCATGCCTATGGGCTTCAGAGGCCTGGGAAGAGGCACCTTTGCAAGGGAAAGACAACACTGGGCTGAGGCGCAGGCTGCGG